TTTCTACCAAATAAGCAGTACTCTCTACCTAGTTCTCAAGTACAAGTGTGAATTTTTGCAGTTTACGATCTCATAAAGAAAATCTCTCCAATTGTAATATAAAACACATTTTAAATCTGCCCAGGAAGTAATGCACTTAACCAAATTGCTAAAGATTAGCACATGAAGGAAATTTGAAAATTACATAGTCCTATGTAATAATTTTACAGATCAGGAGACTGTGGCCTCATCTAGAGATATCCAAAGTTTTGAAATTTGAGAATGATTTTCATAAAATTGTGTTCTAGTCCTGGCGGACAGAGGGCATGAACAGGTAAAGGTTCCCCGAGCCTGGGAGTTCAAATATCATCCATTCCTTTCTTGTGAAACTATTATTTTATCACTGAGAGTTCTTGACCGAAAGAACAACCTGTCTGAGATCAGAAGGTCAAAGGAAGTTAAAAGGTCAGACTCAGAGAGACAGAGGGAGGACACCCAGCAGATTGGCTTAGCTATGGCAGAAGAATGAATGGGAGGCTGGGCCTTGCTGCTCATATTACAATCTGAGTTTCATACATCTGTGGTTTCTCTGAATAGGAGGATATTGTCTGTCTGGTATGAAGAAAGGCCCAATGACCTTCTAAGCAAAAATAATTGATATATTACTTCAGTCTGTATTGACTCTGGACCCTGGAGGACAGAAGCACCTCAACCCTTACAAAGTCACATGCCCATTCTCTTCACTCTCCATAGTTGACTAAACAATATTCAGTAAAAGTAGAAAATTGAGCTGATTAAAGAGATTATAGAGCATTCATACTCAATAAGTATGAAGCTAAGTTATTTTCTCCCAGAACAAAATTTGGCAAAATGGTATGACAGAACAGATGCTGGCAGAGAAGAAGAAACCTTTGAACGGATATGCTTACTTGAAACTATAAAGAGAAATAATGAAAAAGGATGATGAGGAAAGAAGATAGGAAAGAGAAGAAAGAGTGAAGGACAAGGAGAAGTCATAGAGTTGGTGGCTTTCGGCTCTATTTTTGTAAGTAGTTTGTAACTTCTTTGGTGTCTGACAAATAGCATAGGATTGAAATCAATGTATGAAGGGCACCAGACCCAATGGGAGTGACTTCTCAGGACACTTATTATTGCACAATCCTTTGTTTTCTTCCAAGTAGTTGAGCCTAGTGGGGCTCACAGTGACCACCACCAAGACAGTGACCTAAACAATGATTCTCTGCAGAGGTCTCCAAGTGATTCTGGCAAGGCCTTCCCTACCCCCTCCCCAAACAACCTCCTCTTACCAACAACCCCCCTAACACACACACACACACACACACACACACACACACCAAACACACACACACGGAGGAAATCACTGACCTAGAAGGCAAAGAATAAAGGTTTAAAACACAGAACACACAGTAAAGAACAAAAGTGATAAGTGACCCAAGTTGTTCATGAAGTCAGTCAAGCCTTGTTGTTTCTATTCATTCAAGAAATAATTATTGCCCATCCACAATATGTTCAGTGTTACAAAGAGGCTGTGCACACATCATTTGAATTTTTCCTTTTTCCACACTGCCTGCCACAAAAAGTTCTGCCAACACTCAGCAAAACTCTATGCCCAGTTACATCCCTTAGCTATTCTGATCTTATGCTTTTATTTGAAAAAGAAATAACAGAATATATTCTTTAGAGAGAACAGAAGACAGAAGCCCCAAGTTCATTCTGTTCTCAATTCTAAAAATTCATCAGGGGCAATAAGTCATACTTTTCAGTGTTTGGTTTTCCTACCGATCTAAAAACATGCAATATATTAATCTGTAAAAATTTTTAATATTAGTAACCTATCTTACAAAAACATGAATGGTAACTATTTGCAAATCATTCTGCACTTATTACAAAAGTCATGTCCTATAATAAAGTGTAGTTTATATGATTCTTTACAGGCAAAAATAAACTACTAATAACAAACTGTTCAAGACAATGTATAACAGAGGAAAGCATTTCTGAACATTTTGCTTCTGGAACCTCACCAGATTCTTGAAACTTTCATTTTACAGATGAAAAAAACGCCAAGTACTAATTTGTGAACTTTGGCGAATTGTTTTTTCAAATAAAAGAGAGTGAGTATTAAATTTGGAGATGTCTCAAAACAATGGGGACCAATGTTTACTAAAGAATTCTAATACGTCAGGCAAAAACAGAATTGTATTTATATATGTGATTAAAATACTTTAATCCACTAAACACCAACATTCTGGACAGTTTGCAAATCGCAGGATCAAGATTACTCTGTTCGATAGATTCACCAGTGAAAAGAAATGGCACACGATACACAGAAAGAATAAAAATATATTTAAGGAAACAACAACAAACAGAAGAAAATCCTGTGGGTTTACCTCTCCATTTATTTATACACTGCCTCATTAGGCAGTAATGGCTGTTTTATTCATAAAATGCCTTTCCCAGCAGTCATCTCTGAAGTGTAGAATATCAGAGAAGCATCTCAAAAGAATTTAATTTTGAAACTGAATTTTAAAAAACAAAAGATAAATATCAGCATTAAAGTTATATCAATTTTTATTACATATAATAAAATTATATCAAGAAGGTGGCTAAAAAATATGATACAAGATAGAATACCTCAGTCATCACAAGCTTCCTCAGTGAAGACCCAAATATCCAGATATCCCAAACCATAAGGTAAGTAAAGTGTCAAAATAAAAAAGCTACTACTCAGCTGACTACTGAAGAAAAGCTCTACCAACACCATGCAAAATTCAGAGGCCAAAGATGCTGCTAAATTTTGTCTTTTCTCATTCTTCCCACATACAGCTCTTTCTACCTCAGCTCAGACATTTCTAAGTTTCATCAGATTTCTTTCACTTAGCTGTTATTTCCTTCTTTAAACCTTCTTTTAGCCAAATGCCAGTCTTTATAAAAGCGGAAAGATTCCATTTCCTAATTTTTAGAGGAAAAATTCCAATTATGGTTCCTCCCATCTCCAGCATTCGCATACCATTAAATCATTAGCATTTAGACTTCGGTTTCATAGCTTTGGGGAGGGGTGAGGCAATGATGACCAAGGGACTGTGATGGTTGGTGCATTTTTTACCTACCTGAGAAGGGTGTAATGAGAATTACGCCCAGCTTAATGATTTAAAGTTTAGAAAACGCCTTATACTCCTTTGAGAGGTGGCACCCTGAATATAAGACTGGTAACACACTACTGTGAAAACAATGCAGACGGAACATAAAAGCCAACAACCCAAAGAACTACACAGCCAAGGGAATCACCACCTACTTAATAATGTGTCCCAATCAGAGGCAATCTAAGGAAAATTTTTTAAAAGGTAGAACATTGGCAAAAAAATAATCAAAAATAAAAATTAAAGCATGCACATAGTACAGAGACCGCCAAGATAAAGAAGAAAGTTTTTTGAAAAAACAAAAGTCAGCTACTTGAGCATTAAGCTAAGGAAGCCAAGATGTATTTTTGAAAGCATCTACTTTTTTAAAAAAAGACATTTTTTTAATTGTGGTAAAACACACATAAATATAAAATTTACCATCTTAACCATTTTTAAGTACACTTCAAGTACATTTTTAAGTACTTCAGTAGTGTTAAGTACATTCTCACTGATGTGCAACCAATCTCCAGAACTCTTTTCATCCTGCAAAACTAAATACTCATTAAACAACTCCCCACTTCCCCTCCCCCCAGCCCCTGGCAACCACCATTCTATTTTTTGTCTCTGAATTTGATTATACCAGGTACCTCACAGAAGTGAAATCAAACAGTATCGGTCTTTAAAAAAATTTTTTAGCTATTAGCAGAGGAGAATGGAAATATTTTCAAGTACAAAGGGAGAGAATAACAGGAAGCAAAAAGTGAACTGGGGAGGATTTTAGATTTCAGTATCTATAAGATGACCCCAGTCATAACGTTAGTTATCGGAAGTGGATACAGATTCTCTTTTCTAAATATCTTTTAAACAGAAACAAAAAAACATGAGCAGAGAATAGACTGGGGAAACTCCAGATTTCAGTGTCTGCAAAACAACTCCGTAACATCGGTTATCAGAAGTAGATTCAAATTCTCTTCTTCAGATATCTTTAAAACAAAGATGAAATCAACATTATCTCTTAATTTCTTAACATTTCATTCTAAAGAAGGACATTAGTATCTATGTCAGACTCAAATTCAGTCAAGAAGTTAATCTTTGTAGTATTGCATCTGATCTGATACTAAAACAATCTGCCTAAAAACTGTTCCAGGCTTTCTTAGAAATCCTTTGCTTGAATAAACATGTTACTGAGGTCTAATATATGTTCATGGAAGACTATTATTTATTTAAGTATTTCTTATTAACAGTAAAAATATCTAATTTGATCTCCAAATACAAAGAAGACAATAATCTAAAAATTCACAAACTTCCACAACCTTAGAAATATGCTGATTGAAATAATCATAGAGTACGACAATTAAGAAAATCTAAAACTAATGTTGATGCTAAAGCTAATTTCAACTTTAAGAGAACAATATGAACAAAAAGTTAAAAGTTCGATGGGAAATTTTCATTCTCATCATATTAAGTATTTTAATGACATATGTTAACTTGGGGATGTGCCCGGCAATTGGGAAATCATGAAGAAAATTGAATAGAATTACTCCTTCAGAAAGGAATTATCAGTTACCGAAACCTCTGAAAGATTAAAACTGTAAGTCTGAAAAAATTTTTTTTTGCTTCACTCCACCTTATTTTCTTTCTTGATATAATAAATGCCCCAAGGCTCTGATCCAGCTTCAGAAAAAGAGCCAGTAGAGTGGGTTAAGGTTTGTTAATCCAACTGTGGATTAGCAAAACTGTAATAGGGATTAAGAAGTGACACAGAAAAGGAACACCCTAAAAGTGTGTATATAAGGGCCAAAAAAAAGGCAGCCTACAAATACGCTCTTTACTGTCACCTCTGCTATACACCTGGACAAGCTAAACATTTGTAGGAGCATCATGTCTTGCTCATCTCGGATCTCCTCCTCCCGGGCTGGAGGCAGCTGCTCTGTCAGGGTGTCTGCTGGTGGCGGCAGCTTCAGCAGTGGAAGCAGATGTGGTCTGGGGGGCGGCTCCACCCGGGGCTTCCGAGGAGGAGCTAGCAGTTGTGGCTTAAGTGGGGGATCAAGCGGTGGCTTTGGAGGGGGTTTTGGTAGCTGCTCAGTAGGGGGTGGTTTTGGAGGAGCTTCAGGCTCTGGAGCTGGCTTTGGTGGAGGTTCTGGCTTTGGCGGGGGTTCTGGATTCTGTGGAGGTTCTGGATTTGGGGGTGGTGCTAGTGGAGGCTTCTACAGCTATGGTGGTGGTATGGTTGGTGGTGTTGGCGATGGGGGTCTTTTCTCTGGAGGCGAAAAGCAAACCATGCAGAACCTCAATGACCGTCTGGCCAGCTACCTAGACAAGGTCAGAGCCTTGGAGGAGGCCAACGCTGATCTGGAAAACAAAATCAAGGAGTGGTATGATAGATATGGGCCTAGGTCTAAAGATGGTGGATCTGGTAGAGATTACAGCAAATACTATCCAATAATTGAAGATCTCAAGAATCAGGTGAGATGCTATCCATTACTGAGTTTCTATTATTTCTGTACCTTTTGCTTTTATTCAGATCATGTACTGTAATAAAGATCTTAAGTCAAGGAATTATTTGAACACATATTTTCTTATTATATATGTAAAATGGGACTTGGTATATTTTAACTATGACAGTACTGCATATGATATTCAACTACATTAATTTTCTGTTTGCATCTCAAATTTGAGTATTGCTATGTGAGAGGAAAATTTATACAAAGGCAGGCAGCTAATTAACATATATATGTAAGAGTGATGACCATGAGTCAATACTATCCTAATATATTTCATGATTAATTCTGGCAGGTTGACATATTTTAGTGTCTTGCTAGATTTAAACACGCTTTACAACTATTTTTATTCTTAGAAAATCTGGTGCAAGAATTATATAAGAATATGGTGGAGTCTAAAATGTTTAGCCACTGTTGTATGGGAAATATATTTTTAAAGACTTTTTTGGAAGTGAAATTGATTGTTCACACTATTTCCTGAAAGAGCTCATAGAATAACTGATATCCCAAAGCAACAAAAATATGCAAAGTGCTATGTTCTGTACCTATTTCAATAACTGTGCAAAATGCTACCATTTTGCAGAAAGATGTTCAAATACACAAGGGTTATCAATACAGATGTCATTACTAAACAAGTTTTCAAAGTAATTCACCTTTAAAAGCTACCTCAGGGAACATCTAACCTCACAGGTCAGCATACAGACATAAGGTAAAAAGCATTCATGATTCATAATTCATGATTCTCATTCACTGTTTTTGTCTTTTCTAGATCGTTACTGCCACTATTGAAAACGCTGGGATTGTGTTGCAGATCGACAATGCCAGACTGGCTGCTGATGACTTCAGACTGAAGTAAGAAAAGTGAAGACCTGCAAAAAATGTTGTAGGAAAAGTAAAATTCAACCTGTTTGGTTAATTTATTCTAAAAAAATTTTTTTTAATCTCTTAGGGATTCTAGACCTAAATTCGCAAACATCCCAAGAGTAAAATTTAAAAGCCATCATTCCACCAACATGAAAAAGAAGCAAGTTTAGAATGAAATTTTTGTTATAAAAAAATATTAGCCATCAACAGAATTAACATTAGGCTCATATTTTTCTTTACAGGGGAAAAATTCCTAAGAGAAAACTTAGTAGCCTTTGTTATCGAATGGCTCAGAGGAGAAAACTTTTTCTTGAAGAGATAAGAAGGGATGTACTCTCTGAAGTGTACTGTATTGTCTTACCGCTGCCCCTTCCAGGTACGAGAACGAGTTGCATCTCCGGCAGACCGTGGAGGCTGACATCAACGGCCTAAGGAAAGTCCTAGATGACCTGACCATGACTCGCTCCGACCTGGAGATGCAGATCGAGAGCCTCACCGAGGAGCTGGCCTACCTGAAGAAGAACCACGAGGAGGTAGGAACGCGTTCCACATTATTAAATGATTCTGACCTACATATTTCCAACCTCTATATTCGTTCTATACAAATAAAATAAAATAAAATAAATTCTATCTGAATGGATTTCCCATTCCTATGACCAGGAAAAAAGTCATAATGAGCAAATTATATGTGAATTTGGTATCCTAGTTTCAACCTTTTGTTGGCTATGTGTTTCAGGAAGTTATTGCTTTTCTGTTTTCATCATTATTGTCTTTTTTTTTTTCTTCATGCTAGGAAATTAAGAGTATGCAAGGAAGCTCCAGAGGGGACGTGACAGTAGAAATGAATGCCGCCCCAGGAACCGACCTGACCAAGTTACTGAATGACATGAGGGCACAGTATGAGGCTCTGGCTGAGCAAAACCGCCGGGAGGCAGAGGAGCAGTTCAACAAGCAGGTAAGATCATCACCACTAAGCGGCCAAGCCTGTGGCCACACATAAACCACTCTGCTCATTTCATCGGCCCACAGTGACTGCATTTTGTTTTTATTTAGAGCGCATCACTGCAAGCACAGATCTCTACTGATGCTGGGGCAGCCAGTTCTGCCAAGAGTCAGATAACAGAACTGAAACGTACTCTGCAGGCTCTGGAAATTGAGCTTCAGTCCCAGCTGGCCATGGTACGTGCAAAGAGCTTTCCAAAATCTCCAACAGGGAGCTAAGTGATTCAGTTTTCTTTCTTTGCCAAGATGTTCCACTTGGCACGTAATACAAGCAGTATTAAGGAGGACTGTATTGTGGTTGTAGAAAGCATAAAACATTCCAGTTAAAGATAATACGCTCTATTTCCATAAAATATTTCGTTTAAAAAAGTAATGCAAATAAAAATTAAGAAAGCAATTATATAACGATATAACTTGTAACTTCTAGGAACTTATAAAATTTTGTAAATTTTAAAAGTCATCAATAACTTATTTTCATCATGAATTTTTTTTCTCTCTCTCTTAGAAAAGCTCCCTGGAAGGGACTCTGGCTGACACAGAAGCTGGCTACGTGGCTCAGCTGTCAGAAATTCAGATGAAGATCAGCAGCCTGGAGGAGCAGATCTGCCAGATTCGGGCGGAGACCGAATGCCAGAACACAGAATATGAGCAACTGCTGGACATCAAGACCCGTCTGGAGATGGAGATCGAGACCTACCGCCGCCTGCTGGATGGCGAGGGAGGGTAAATGAAAATCATGAACACGCTAAAAGGCATACCTGGGCATATTTATGTTACGAAATCAAAACGGGGTTTGGGGGCTGGATCTGTATTTATAAAGTCACAGCGACACAGTCCAATCAAAATGCAAACGAATACAATTCTTTTTTTATCCAGTGGCTCTTGTTTTAGCGGATCAGATTTTAGAAACTCGGGATCCAGAAACACGGGGTCCAAGAACTCGGGGTCCAGGGATTCCAGCTCTTGTGACTCAAGATCTGGAAGCCATTCTGGCCAAGGAAGAGGTAGACATTTTTTTTCTTTTTAATGTGCAAAATGTTATCATTTAAAAATAAAAACAGGTTTCGTTTGTCGTATGAAAAGTTATCTACTGTTGTCTCCATAATCTAACCCAGAAAGAACGTACTTAATGAACACACCTTGCATTGCCCTTGATCTGTGTTTCTGTGATCATCTCCAGACTGACATTGTGATTTTATGACTTTCAGATCCAACCAAGACCAGAGTGACGAAGACCATCATAGAGGAGGTGGTGGATGGCAAAGTCATCTCTTCTCAAGTCAGCAATGTTTCCGAGGTGAAGGTCAAATGAACGGTTTCCAGATCAACCAGAGTGTCCTTCGGAGAAAATAATCTAAAGGACACAAATGAAGACATCAACTCAATGTAGCCATCTCTCTGCGTAACTTCAGAGAAAAGTTGCCATCCAGAAATAGATGACTAACCAATTTTTCTGCATCCTTTCCTTATTAGAATACTCTTTTAAAAAGTTGAAATGATAACTTCGCTCTGATTATTTCTATGCTTCAATAAACTTACTTTTTTGCAAGTTAACAAGAGTATTCCTGAAATTTTTAAAGAAATTCAATATTTTACCTAGAAATGAAGTGATCGATTATGATCTAGCTGCGGTATTATGTTACTAATATTAATTAATTATTTATACAGTACCTTCTTCATAAAAATCAAAATTATCGCCATTCCATATGTGGGCATTTTTAACAACATCATCTTTGAACTCAGTGAAATTAAACCTCAGTGTCTTGAAAGCTATAGCAAACAGCTGAGCTCAGAAACAAGGATGCAGTTATTAGAATTATCGATCTATAATGCCCAGTTGCTTTACATCCATCACTGAACTGGGTCTTTTATAAGATAAAAAGGAACAGAAGATGTACCTCCTACTACAAGAAGGTCACGTTTTAGATGGAGAGGAAAGCTAAAACACAAAGAACACAGCAAACACTAAAGGGTGTTGACAGCAAAGGGCTCGATTCCTCATTATTCACCAGAAGTGCCACAGGAATCTGACATTGCACGTTTGCAGGATGTTCAGGAGACCGATCAAGATAAAAGCCTTAGAGAGTAAGGTGAGATAAGTGATATGGTGCCAGGTTTCTGAAAACCTTGAAAGCCCCAAAGAGATACTCAAGTACTTGTTCCTATTCCAACCTAGCCGCACCTCCAGCCTAAAATCATCACTTAGCCAAGCTGGTGTTTCCTTTCCCCGCCCTCCATTGTTGAGGTCTTTTACCCCATGGGTGGTCCACATGACATTTCAAAGACAGGTACTGTCTTCCAACCTACCCATCAAAAAAGCTCATCCAAAGTCCCAGAAACTGTTTTCAAGAAACTGCAACAGCCAAAGATAATAACCTATAAAGTTATGATATAGAGTTATAATATGGAGTAGTCTAAGAAATTAAAAGAACGAGGCCACTTGGTTTGGGAAGGTAATACACATTCATCACAATCTTGGGGAGAGGAATTATCTCAGTGACTGATTATTTCTCATAATTTGCCAACAACTAAGACCTGTTAGATCCTTGATACCCTTAGAAATCCTGGTAGGTATAGGGTGTTTGTTGCAGGGTTTTCTAAAAGATCAAATGCTTGGAAATAACTTGAATGTTCACCGATAAAGAAATAATTGAACAAATCGTGTCCATTCAAACAATGGAATATAAGAGAGCCATGAAAAAAATAATATATTTAATATTTGCGTATTAACCTCATAATATATTTATGATATGCTGTTAAGTGAAAAAAACAAATGCCGAGTCAGTGCATATAATACATTTGTGCAAACAAAAATACTGAAGAGAGAGAGGAGAAAACCCATAAAGATTCGTGTGTGTTTATATGAACACAGAAGTATGTGCCCACAGCAGGTTAGCAGTGACTACCTAGTGGGGCCTGGTAGGCAGGGGAAGAAGTATGGCACTTTTTCTTAATACATCTGTTAATTGCTTGACTTGGTCTATGGAGTAGGTATTGCTTTGTATTTAAAAATAACTTTAAAAAAGTGTAACTGTATGTGGTTCCGCTTGTGATATAAAAGCGTTACAATAAATTAATGTCTATAATTAGTCTAAATAGGTGTTTTTATAAGTGTTGTTAAGCATAATAATTTTTTGAGCCAACCAAAAAAGAGGGGGGAGGAGACGTTTCTGAATTAGGAAGAGAAAAGAAATTTATATCTCGTAAGCAATTATTATATATTTGCTTTATTTCACTTACTCCTATGATGTAGATTTTACTGTTTCTCTTTTACAGATGAAGAAAGCTTGACCTTGGAGAATTTGACTTTCATTTATTCAGAGTCACAGGGCAAGTAAGGAAAAAATTAGAAGTTGAAGCCCTGTTCACTCTCCCAACATAAAGTCTACGGTTTTATATATTAAATTCACAAAGTAGCCTCATTCTGTAAATTACCCAAAAAAGTACTGAGCATATTTCCATTTTTCCAAAACTATTTCTCCCCCACCTAAAGAAAGTGAGCAGGCTTTCAATATCTACGTAATGAGGAGAAAGTTGTTGAAACTGGAGACCAGGAGAGCTAACAAAGACGCCCTTTGGCCTGAGTTCGGAATAGAAAGCAGGATACTAAATGCTCCTTCAGCCCTTCAAAATGAAGCTGGATTTCAAGGAGTTGGTAAAAACCAAGAGAAGATCAGCTTTTTAAGTAGGACAGAAGCTATATTATGGCAAAGTCGAGTGCAGCATCTTGAAGTGAGTTTCATAATTTCACAATGGCAGCAAAGGTGAGGAGTGAGACAGGGGAGAAAAATATTTCATTGAAAACTAAATTTTTATGTAAAAATAGTACATATAATATGTAATGTAAGCAAGAGCCATTCTAAAATTGTTATAATAACATGGTGAGATCTTCTGCAAAAGAAAAAAAAATGATATATGTATTTTGAGAAATGTAGTTATAGTTTCTGAGCATCCTCTCTTATCCTTGAAAAACCTCTATTGGTACAATTTATGAGATTATTAATGTCTGGAACTTACTGACCTTGCAAAAAGAGTTTTTCATACTATTACACCTCTGTCAGTTAATCCTAACATCCTGATCTTTAGAAACTCAGAGAATGCTTTTTAGCTTTACTCATTGCTTGCAGCTATCTGTAAAATAAATTACTTCAAATGTTTTTTAATAAGTTTGCCTAAAACCAAGAAGTCAGGTTTTTAAACCTCCATGATGGTTTTTATGCAAACAAGAGCTTCATGGGATCATTTTCAAGATGAGGTAATTTTTCCCCACTGAGTGCTCCACACCCCAAAGTTTCCATGATCCGATATTAGCACTTGTGATTTCTATCACAAGCATAGCAACATAAAAGTCACAGAATTTTAAAGAGTTGGGTGGTGACTTTTATTCCAGCCTCCTACCCAGACAGAAATTCTTTCTGAAAGATTATTCTAAACCTCCAGCCTCCAGTCGAAGGTACCCAGAGCTTGGAATGTGCATGACTTGGTAAGACAGCCTATTGGATTTAAGAACAGGTCTAATATTAGAAGTGCTCACCTTACATTGAGCCAAATCTGTCTCCCCATGTAACTTCTAGCTCTTTGCTATCTGTTTTGCCTATAAGGGACATATTTGCAATTACATCATCTTCTTGAAATATGGCCCCCAGAACTAAACACCAGGATCAAGAGCGTTGGGAGGTTGGCTCCAGGGCTTTGTAAATCTTTTAATGCAATCTAACTTCAGCAGCCACAGCATATTCACAACTCTGTAGAGTTGGGACTTTCACAGGAAATTTTATCCTTCTCCTGATGTTTTGTTTTGTTTCATTTTGTTTTAACTCGTAGAACTTCTTTCCTTTTAATTCTACTTATATTACAAAATCTTATTTATTTCGTGTCATAATTTCAGTCTGAATATTTTTAAAATGTATTTTCAATTCCACCATTTAAATAACATATTAAATATATTTTGTGTCATTTAGAAGAAAAGCAACCATGACAAAAACTAAAATGCAAGTAGTATCACACTAACAGCCCCGCACTTGCCAATAACAGATATCAGTTTGATATGTTTTCTAAATGTCATTTGAATATTTTATTCTAAGTGTTAAATTGTTCCAATTTTAATACAAGTTTTAAGAAATGTTTATTTGATGAGTAGAGTGTTTGAAGGCATAAAAAAAAGACTCAGACTCCCCCTTAAGTGAAATGAAGCAAAGGCTGTGTAGAGAAAGAATATTAGGTGACACCAAGTATATGTACCAAAAAAATATAGTCTTTCGAGTTTGACAGTTTTCATTAAAGGTAGATAGGTTAGATGATAGATAGATAGATAGATAGATAGATAGATAGATAGATAGATAGATAACAGACAACACACATTATGAAGAAAAATACATTTTGTAATATAGAAATCATGGCTGGGGGGGCTTCCCCAGGATAATAAGGAATTTGGGGAGGGGAAATGGAGCATGTTATGGTTATCATCTCCAAGTTTAGGATTTCTGCTACAATTCAGGATCCGTGTATGTTGATTTAACTGCAAAAGGAGCAAGGGGCAGCCAGCCACTGCAGAGGGATGTAAGAACCTAGAGAAACTTACAAGTTTGCTATTTAATACCAAATCATAACATTATATTCCATCATTTCCTTCATTTCTCTTTAACTTTCTTGGGTGTCTTATACTTTCATAAAATAAGAATATAAAGTTAGATATTATTAGTCACTTGGAAAGTCCAAGGCAGGCTTTGAAAAAAAATTTAACTTAAAATTTTTGTTTTCTTACATTTGACAAAATTCAAGAAAAACAACAGAATAATATTAAAATTTTCTCTTCCTACATTTTATTCTTATTTAATGTACAGAATACCTAAGCTAAAGATCTGCCACTTTCTATTACTTCACCAAAAATCCCTAAAATTGATTTCAAATAGCTTCATCTGAAAAGATGGCATATTTATCATATAATTCTGAAGGAAAATAAATTGTTATAAGCACAGTCATTAAAATGTAAAAATATTGCAAGGGACAATACAAGTTTAACTGGGCTGATATCATGTAAATATTATCTGCTGCATTTCTTCAATGTGAGATAAATACCTGAAGGCATTTTCTGTGGCTTTAAATAAAAAAGGCAATGGAGTTTTACCAATAATTAATAAAAGGATAATTTAGTATTACAGATGTCATTAAAAATCCTTAAGGCAATTATATCAGAGATGAAACACCCACATTATCAGCTATAAAAGCAGTTGCTCATTGATAGCTCTCTTAACATTGTCCTGGAGGCAGTGGGCTGTGCAGGGCTGAAGTCTGTTCATCATGTCACACTCT